TATGTATGTATGTATCTATTTCTGCAGTTGTAGCCAAATGCCATTAAGCGCTTTTCTACATGTAGAATAGAAAACCAAATTATATGGAATTGACGTAAATTTTGACACTTGTCAGTGTCATCCCCATACATTTTGATTTCTACTCTCTCTGTAGACAAGCGCTAAAGTGGCGTTTGGCTACAGGCACTGTTTATTAAATGATGCAAATTTGACTTTCTGGATCTGGATTCTTTTGACATTTGTACGCTTAATTATATAAACGTTGAAATATTTGCCGATTATAGACAGCGGTAAATAGTCAAATAGCATTGTGCGAATAGATTAGAAAAGTTAATGTATGAGAATGACATGACATCACGGAAAAATTGTCGTACCCATATCAATGTCCATACCAAGCACGGACATAATTTTTAACCGACTTCAAAAAAGTAGGAGGTTCGCAGTTTTACCTGTATGTATGTGAGCGGCCTCGCGATTGGCTAAACCGATTTTGATGCGAGGTTTTAGAAGTGTGTGTTACACTTAGAAGGTTTGAGTATATTAATTAACTGACTTGCAAAAAAGAGGGGTTAAAGTCGGCTTTTTTAAACGTAGTTTTAAAAAGAATTATAGACAGCAAGACTCTGATATGAACCTAATATTTTTTTTACATCAAGCGACCCTATCTGGCTTCAAAAATATTTTTCTGACTTACCCAGTGTTTTTTCTATATTTTATAAAAACTTTTATCTTAGGATAAAGTTTTTTTTTTTCGTTTTTAATTTGCCTTTTCTGATTTTTTATTATTTTTTAATTTTGCCTAATCAGTGCAGTACCTTTCAGTGTAATGAACTAATGAGGTTAGCAAAAAGAGTTGTTATAATGATCATATTTATATAGGTTATTTAAGGATTAAGACTGTCTTGTTGGCCGAGTGACAATGGGTTTGGGGTTCGATTCCCAAATCGGGCATAGTATAACTGGGTTTTCAAAAAAATCTCAGTAGTAGTAGCACGGAATCTGGAATTGTGCCCGGTATATGGCAAGAGGCTCACCCCCTATTACATAGGACTCGCCTAACATAAATAGTGAATAGTGGATGTTACATTCATTAAGTGCTGTAATGTGCACCTTTGCCTACCCCTTCGGAGATAAAACGGCGTGATGTTATGTTATGTTATTTAAGGATTTCTACCATGACCTCTACCTACATTGGCAACTGCGTCATCGATGTTTTTAAAGTGATATCAATATAAAAATCAGCTGCATTCTGTATAAACAGTAAACCATCAAATCTAATCATATCGCCCTTGTGTTTATCAGGTGTTACTTCTGTTATATGTATATATATATAGAAGTATATAAATAATAATCTATTGAGCGCTAATCAATACCTACTTTCAACTAAATACAATATCAATAGTACAAAGATTTGGGTTTTGACGTTTTGTAGAAAATCATCACTTCACTAGAGGTATATGAGTCGGTTTCAAAAAACTTTACTCCAACTAAATTGAGAGAATCGCTAAAGTAAATGTTAAATAAAAATAAGTAACTATAAAACACAAATCATGCAGGCATCATGCACAAAAATCTACTTTAAACTATCTACAATTAAGTACAATTTAGCTTCTAAACAAATCGAAGCAATTTACAATGCTGTGCTAGCACTAGGTACTACAAGACTAAACATTGACTATTAAATCATTAGTAACAAAAAAAACATTTCAAATTAGTAAAATTAGAAAAAAAAACAACAAAAAATTTTAGAAAAAAATACTGCTTACAGTGATTCAAAAAAGTTCATCTGATCTATGGGGTTGGTACTGGTTGTGGAGGAAATAAAGAAAAAAAAAACAAAATTAGTGCACAAAAAAAAAGAAATTAAAAAAAAAACAAAAATAGGAATGAAATTATCGTTGTTATTTACTGGGGTTCCGTCGCGATCCGTGTGATACCGTCACCATTTGAACCCAAAAAAAGCGAAGCGAGAAATCCCAACAATAAGCTTGAATTAGACACTAAACTTAAAAAAAAATCTTGAAAAATAAACCCCAGAAAAGCTTAACAAGGCTCTACTTTATTAGTTCAGTATAATCTCCTTTCAAGGGATGATAAGTTTCGAAAGAAAAGAGCCATTTGAGACAAACGTTTAGTCTACACATTTCAGTTTTATTTTAAACCATCTTAGAATGTCATTTCCAATTATTTAGGCGCAATCACGTCCATGTTCAAAAACAGAAAAGTCATTAATAAAGTAGAACCCAACTAGATGGCGAAATAATACTCAAAATTCTGTCTTACAAATGAAGCGAGTTGTCCCAAAAAGGTTTTCACCCTTCCAATGTTGTATCAACAAAAAAAATGTCAATGATCATTGTTTGCAAACAATACACAACCGAGACAATGGTTTCGCTAAACCAATCAATTAGTTGGCCGTCGAAATATCGGACACTTTTAATGAATTTCAACGACCACACTGCAAAATGGACGCAGAGAAAGTTGAGCAAATGGAATTTCTAACTATTCGAGTATTTAATTGTTTAAAGTAATTGTTTTGGAAACTTGAACTGGACATTCACTGAACTTTTAGATATCTAAAAAGTTTATGAAGCCTTCGATAGCTACCTTTAAGTACTTTGGGTACAAGTAAGGAAATGAGAGTGTGAATTTAAATAACTTGTGTCTCGTTCACTAACAATGATCATCGACAGAATGCGCGTAATCCTACAATACGTCCTACATCACACGTGTAACATAACCCGTAACGTGTAGCGTAACGCGTACCACGTAACGCTGTAGCAGTTGACAGACGTACCTGCGCGCGGCCCAGAAGAATCCAGCTGAGTCTACTGGCTCCAGCAATCGAGGTGTGGACGAGCCGAATGCGAAGGCCGGCCGGGGAGCGGAGCGAGCGGCTCGCTGCCGCTCCAGCCGCTCCGTCCGATCGCGTTCGCGTTGCAGCAACGCCTCGCGGCGCGATATTGATGCCTCCCATATCGCGCGCTTGCGTTCTTCAACCTGGAACAAGTAGGAAATGTTGATTAAAATTTTGTCACAAGCTTATATAACCAACATAGGACTTGTGATTTGTAAAATCATGTTTTGGTCAGTCACAAGTCCCATGTTGTGGTAACATGGTCCTTTAAACAGCTTCAAGCAGTAGAATGGGACAAATCCTAGACGTTTGCTAAACTAATAGTTTCAAATATCGAATGTCAGTCATATTTTCGTCAGAAACGGCATCAAAATCTTTGCTCATTCTACTCGATTAACAAGATAAAAAGATGTTTCCATACTTTTAGCTTTGCTATATTTATTACCTACTTACCTTACAAAAGATTATCTTTAGGTAAAGTACCTACTAAATACGACGAACGTGTCGAAAAGTCAGATATTCTAGAAAAGGAGTGGCGAGATAAACACCCAATAAATTGCATTTAACAGTCGCTTTAATCGATTTTAGTGAACGAAAGTTGTTTTCGATTACATTTATTTGCCTAGATAAACATCCGATTAGGAAATTGCTAAGTAATAGTTGTCTCAGCCTTTTTGGGTGTAACTCGAAGTTCTGAAGTGGAATATTCTGGAATAATCCGGAATTTTCGGTGATCGCGGTCGGTCTAAGCCTTACATATTGCAAAGCTTAGCCTCTTTGGGCCTGACAGGTCGCTCGCTTGATAAATAATTGTCTTTTTGCCATAAACCAGTCTGTTTGGGCCACGGATAAATCTGTCCATTATTATGGTTCTTACCATTACTGTAAACTTAGCTATTTATGAGGTTTCAAGTTGATTCTAAAATGGATACCATAAATATTGTACTCTGAGAGTAGGTACTTAGCCAGACCAAATTTCTCTAACGCAGCAATATTTTCCATCTATTGTGTAGAACATTCAATTTCGTCAAAACAAGATTCGAAATGTTTGAGCTATGAATCCTTCGATCAACAATAGCAACTAGATATCGGGTCGGCGCAAGAAAATCGTCTCGACAAATAAGAGCTCACTTGAGAAGTGAGCTCTTATTTTGTTTAGTATGCTCCAAACATGGCCAACGTACTCACGTCTCACGATGCTGCGTGCGTAATTGCAAGTTGCAAAAATAATAACCGAAAAAGCTGTATAACGGCCGGAGTGTCTTACTTACGATATCTACATAAAGTATAAGTTGTATTTTAAGCTTTTAAACTAGTAAATAATAT